AACTGTGTTTGCAGGAGCAGTGAGGGCTGCCAGAGGGACCTGTTCTCCTGTTGCCACTGCAGATCTGCAGAAGAGCCAGGACAGGGTTAAGGCCTGTGGTGTGCTCACAGCCACCCTGCGTGAGCGATAAGGTGCTGCGGCTGAGTATACAAGAGCAAGAGAACAAGCAGTCAGGGTATGCATGCCTGTGTGTTTTAGAAAGGCTGTAAACTACTTTGGCAATAGAGGGACATCTGTCTGCACTGTTCCTCTGCTCTGCTGAGGCAGATTTCTTTAGCCAGTGCTCAGGGCATCCTCCCAAGGCGGGCGACTGAGTGTGCTTGCCCACCTCCCTGCCTGCCCTGTGGTGTAAGGGGTGGACAGGCGCTGTGAGAGAGAACACACCTGGGACGCTAGCCCAGCTGGCCAAAAAGCCAAAGCTGCCTCATTAGTAATAAGGAATTTAAAAATGTCTTTGCGAGGTAATAGGAAATTCAGCCCATTCAATTACCCTTGTCATGGGAAATATCTTTATTTAAATGACTATTTTTTCCATGACTGACAGGGTTCATGTATTTGCACTTGAATTATCCGAGCTGTCAAGCACTGATCATACTTCCCTGCTCTTTTTCTGAGATAGTAAAAAGTTAAATAACCTGGTGTTCATGCAATGACACCTTCCTGAAGTAATGTTGTTCTTACAAGCACATGGCAGAGCAAATGCAAACAACATAACTGAAGTTTGCAAATAGATCTTTATTTCTATACACCTTAGTTTATCGAGATTTTAGTGTTGGCAAACTGCAGAAATGTCTACCACATGGATCTCCCAGCCAGCCCGACGCAGAACGGACTATCCTTTAGCATGGATAGATGTACAAGAACAAATTACGAACACGATTTTAGGTTGCTTATGTTGGCAAGACCAGCCCTCAAAATCAGGAACTGCAGTAAGGTGATCTCTGAGAAATGAAATGAAGAACTTAGAAACCGAGATTACTTTTGGAAATGTATTCCTCAGTGCTTGGATGTAGGGACAAGTTAACCATGAGGCAGCAATGTGCCCATGGCCAAGAAGGCCAATGGGATCCTGGCCTGCATGAGGAGGAGTGTTGCCAGCAGGTCGAGAGAGGGGATCCTGCCCCTCTGCTCAGCTCTGGAGAGGCCGCACCTGGAGTATTTGGTGCAGTTCTGGGCTCCCCAGTACAAAAGGGATGTGGAGCTTCGAGAGAGGGTCCAGTGTAGAGTGACAAAGATGATTAAGGGACTGGAGCATCTATCTTATGAGGAAGGACAAAGCGAT